TTGGAGGAAAGATCTGGTTGGCTAATCCAGCTCAGTTAGTGGATAGGGGTAGAACTTCCCTTGGTCCTTCTTTCCATTTTCTCCCTGGAAGGCTGGGGTCAATGTCGTGATATCTAGTCATTCCTTGGAGGCACTTCTTCCAGGAGTGGAGGAGTGGCTGCTAAGGAAGAAATGCAACTGGAGAGGCTTCTGTCAGATGTGTGTAGGTTTTTTTTTTTTTTTTAAAGTTAAAAATCATCCTGTCACTCTAGGTGCTTTGATAGGGAATGCTAAAGTTGCATTCCAGAAAAAAATGACAATTCTGCGTTCTTTGAAACTTAGCTCTTTTTCTCTGCGGCACATCTGCTGTAGTACCATCTGAGCAGGAATTGGTGATCGATGACTTGTAAGTGTGGTCAATTTATTTCTGTTACGTGTTACCCTGACATACCAGCTGGAGCTTTCAGGAAAAGCGTAGCACTGCTTTGATTTTTCTCCTGCCTTCTTATTGCTTTCACCAAGATGCTGAAATGTTCAGCGTTTCTGGGAGAGTCGGCTCCTCTAAGGAGGCTACAACGATGTTGGGTACTGGCCATCAAGGTTTATTTTTGTAGGGGTCCTGAGTGTAGGTCTTGTACTCGTCCCCTTCAGAATGTGCCCCTGGATCATCTGTTCCTTTTGGTCTTGTGAGTCAGCATTAACGGGAGGGGCAAAGAGACGTAAAATCATGAATGCTGCTGTTTGGAAGTATTTCCTTGACTCAGTGTATCAGTACGAATTACCTTAGTTACCAAATGCAGTGCTTTTTTGTCTTAGAGCTATATGCACATTATAGAAGAAAATAAACAGCTTAACCAATGGTGGACTATTTCATTTAAGAGAATCTCTTTGTACTGAAGCCAGGGGAAGAGGATTAGTTGTGACCTGTAACGGGAATGGTAAGGAAAAGCTCCAGAGACTGCTACAGCTGCTGTTGCTGCTCTCGGATGCTGAGCCTTTCTCAGTGGCATGGTCCCCTCCTGTTTTTCGGTAACATGATATTCATGTATTTCATAGCAAATAGTAATTGCACCTGACTTTATATGGCCATTAGTGCTGATAGGAGGGCTGGAAGCCTGGCATACTCTTTGGGTGGGGATTTTATTTTGTTGTTAATTTTCTTATTTGTAAAATTAGCTGTGCTTGTTTTTTGGTTTTTTGTTTGTTTGTTTTTCTGAAGCCCATCCAGGCCTCCTAATTTTTTTCCCAATTAAACTGAAGTTCATAATATTATTCTCTTTCTACTCATAAAAGGGTAATTGGCTAATGAACATGCTTTGAGTTCAAAGTTACCACTTAACTACAATTAATTTTCAGTGTCTTACCTTTTTTTTTTTTTTTTTTAATCTTTAAAATACAGAATGAATGATAGGATCTGGCTGTTAGGAAGTTGTTCTGGTGGCCTGATTTGTCTTCATGTTTAATGTCTAACCTTGTCTTGTGTTCAAAGTCCAAGTTGAAGTCTGTAGTTTAAAACTACAAAGAGGTTTTCCTGGAGCTGAGGGCTAGCAGCTGAGATGATGCTAGAGACTGTAGTACTTAGATTTGATTATCTGTGAACAGGATGTGCTTAGTGAAGAGTCTTTGCTGGGATTTAGTCCTTGCTTGTCCTGATGCAGTTAAATGCCCGTTATTCATACAGACCCTTTTTGAAGGGGTGAGTTGAGTGTTATCTCTACAAAAAGGGCAGATAAGCCGTATTTGTTGTAAAGGCTGATTCGTAAGAAATGTAAATCAGTGTGGGTAGTTACAGCTGATGCAAATAGTTCTATGGAAGTCAGTGAAGCTGTGCCAATTTTCATCAGCAGCGAATGTGTCTCACTGATCTATGTGACTCTCCTGTGCCACCTGATAAGGTGGGCTGACCCACTCCTGAGTGTGTTCTGCAGTTTTTTGCCATTTCCACAGAAAACCCAATTGACTACAATGAACTTGTCCTGAGGAAGTCATGTATCCAGAGCATCAATCAGTACTACCGCAGCTGGAAGTAACATTGGGCAAGGAGTTTGCTGCTTTATACTAAGTGTCTGTGTGTGTGTCTACATAGAAAACAGTGACAAAGCAACCATTTAAACATTTCTGAGAAGTGTATCTTGCAAGAGGACTGATAAAGAGTGTTAGCTGTCCACTGCAGGGCTCTCCCTTTGTGCGAGGTAGCCATTAGCTGTTCTCATGAAAGAGATGAGAATGAAGACAGGCGTTGCTGTCCTTGTTGCTTGGTTGTGCAGTCTTGTAACATCTGTTATTTAGTCCGTGGTCATTTTTTCAATGTTTCGGATGATATAAAGAGGCTACTGTTTTTATTCATAAAGCAGTGGTTGAAAAGTTCACAAAAACAACCACCTTATTTTTTCTCTTCTGCCTCCCACCCCTTCGCTCACACGCCCCTAGCAGCCATCAGCCTTCATTTTTTGTAGCTTCGAGCTGCAGTTACTCATGGCAGTGTGAGATGACACAGCTGAAAGTTCCCAGCCATAGTCTAGATCCGAAGTATTAGTCAGCACTGTATGAAGATTCACTTCTTTCCAGGTAGCTTTCACCCATAGTAATGTTTCTTGCTTCTAGAATGACTAGGACAACAGGGGTAACATCTGTCTGTGGTTGCATGGTGTCCTAATTTTCTATCTAGTACACAATGTTGCTTCATTATGCACGAACTTCTGGATTTTTCCTCCTCCAACAACAGTCTAAAAAGCCTCGTTTTTAAACCCCTTCCTCCCCTAGTGTTTCTTGGTATCTCTTTAATTTATAATGTCTAATCTTAATGACTGTGACTGGAATTTAAGCTTTCATCCTCTCTTGAGAGCACATACTTGATGCGGAAATAATGTCTTGGAGTCTAAAATGCTGTAGCCCAGAGTAGGCTGTTGTGATCTGAGATTTGTGCTACAGATAGAAAATACCAGACTGCTGTCTAAAAGTATCAGAAAGGCTTTTTCTTTTGTTCGTCTTCTCTCTCTCTCCCTTTCTCTCCCTCTCCCCCTTTCTCTCTCTCTTTTTTCTAAGCCTAAGGTGAGGGAGCTGGCTGGGGGTGAGCTTATTGGTGAAATTGTTTGCCAATTAGACTCATTTTTACTTTAGAACATGTTTTGTCTGTAGATTTTGGCCCTTAGCAATGGCTCTCAGGTACTCTCCTCTTTTTAGAGGAGCTTCTGACTGCTGATTCTTAGCCTGAGGTGGTGGCCTTTGGTCTAGCGGATTCAGAGCTGCAAGTATGCTTAAAATAATCGGTCCATAAAACTATGACTTTTGTCCGTGTGGAAAGGGACAAGAGAGAGTTGAAAGGATGCTTTTCCCTGCTTGATACCCCATCATTAGAAATTATACTGCTTTTTTTTCCCCCCTTCCTACTTTTATAGGAAAGCTGAATTTTTACAAATGAAAAATGAAGAGGGAAGGAAAAATGGGGAAAGGTGTATGGGCTTATCTGTGCAAAACTTACAGGTCCCTGTTTGTACCGGATTAAAGAAACATTTTTTTGTGTAGTTTATGTTGTCTTCTAGCCCTTAATTGTAAGTTTTCTGAATTACTTTCCAAGACTGAGATGACAAAACCAAGAAAGGTATGCATGAATACTGTTTGGCTTTGTAAATCGTTCAGGGTATAGCAAGGGCCACAGAGAGGTCATCTTTTAATAATGGTTGCAGAATTGAGCCTCATGGTCAGAGCTGATGTGACATGGCACATGGTGATAGGTTATCCAGCAAAGCAGAGGAGGAGGAAGGTTTGCGCAACCCAAAGCTACAGGTAGCGTGTGAATGGCTGGCGCTTCTCTTGTTTTCTATAGGCTGGGTAAGGTAGTAGTGAATGCTATGTTATTATCAGATGCAACCCATAGCATTAGGGCAGATCAGAAGCTACTTTACAGGCCCTTCTGTTGGCTGGCTAACCCTAGTGTGATAAGCTAGGTTGCCTTTCAACAGGCAGGTTGCTGCAAGGCAGAGGCTCATCTGATAATCCCCAATAAAAAGTCCTTCATGACTTTCGGAACTTCTACACAGCTGGACTGAGCAAAATGGGTGGAGTTTTCCCTTTAAATAGCTGTGCTTGAGAGACTGTTGCTGCTGTTGTGATGACATTTGGGCGTTGCTAAGGCTTTAGGAAGTTAGTGCTGACATATCTGTATTGGTGGTATGCTCTGTGTGCACCAAAGAAAAATGGATCATATGTTCTCTTTGCCTTTCCCCCCCCCCCCCCCCCCCTGGGCGTGCGTGTGTGCATCTTTGTTGCTGTTTCCAAGTTGGGAGGGGTATGAAAGGGTGGGAAGGGTAGCATCGCAGTGTTTACCTGCCTGTGTGTGCAGGCATGTGTCCTTGGGCTGCCCGGGGCTGGTCCTCAGGCTGACCTTGAAACTCGCAAGTTAAAGAAAGTCTTGTAACTGAGAACAGTGCGGGCTTCTGGGAGTGTTGATGTGAGTGGGTAGATCTGGGAGAGAAAATGCAACTCACAGACTTTCATCAATTCTCATTCTATGTGAATACACAAGTAGCTGTTTGCAGTGATTTCCTCTGTGTAAGAGCGCGACAGTGCTGTGGCGCTGACTAGCGTGGCTTTGCGCTTTGTGATTTGCTGGATTTTCTTTTTTGCAGTGCTTTGTCCAGCTTGCTTAGCAACTTTAGGCAAATCACTTACCTTTTCTGTTTGACGTTTCATCACTGCTTAAATAAGGGTAACTCATACAGTGGGGGGGAGGGGCAAGTTGTGAGGCCCACTTCATATTTGTAAAACGCTTTTGATATCCTTGGAGAGAGACCATTATGTGAGAGTCCAACATGATTAACAACTGGTTCTCAACGAAAGCTTTCAAAGTGCAGCATAGCTAGGGTAGTGCAGTTTAAGAAGGCTGCAAAGACGCACAAAGTGTAGTCAGCACTTTTTAGACTGCTTTTGACAATAGTCTGCTAAAGTAGTATGTTCCATCCTGTATGCAAATCGAACTTTGTCAAATTGTGTTACCACAAGATATCTATATTTGATACTATATTTCTTTCTCACAGATTCTGCCTGGCTTGTTCATTGGCAACTTTAAAGGTAAGATTAGTTTTATCATTATCTCTAGGGTTACTTAGCAGGGGTCTTAAGGTATTGTTTCACAGGCCTACAGAATTCTGTAACATCTCTGCAGCTTCTGTAACCCTATCTTGCTTCGTTTCTGGATTCACCTGGTACCACTTAAAGAAGAACTTGTTTGCTCTCTCATCCGTGTGCTGTGCTGCAAGTACTTTAAGAAAAATGAACACCGTCTCCTCGAAGTGTGCTTCAGCTAGAATTCCTGAACGCTGGCCTCTCTTAAATGAGTCCTGTGCTTCGCAGACAAGCGTGTGAGCCAGGCAGATTCTTCATGAGGCTTATTTCAAGCCCTCCTTATAAGTAAAGGCTTAGTATGCCTCCCGCTCATTGCTTTCATTATTCTGGTTATTTATAACAACTGCTAAGGAGTTGTTATCACTGCTTATGAGATTGATAAGTTTGCAGATTGCTGTCTGACCACTGGGTACTCACACTATCCATGCTGCAGATGCAAGACTCTCATCTCTCTGGATATTTTTTCCCTTTTCCATGAGGTTTATTTTTCTGTTTGAAGAATGGCAACCATATTTACAAAAAATAGAAAACTTCATACAGACATCCAAATAAATGACCTGTTCTCAAAACACTCTGTTAGCAGCAGTTCCCATTATGCCTCCTCAGAAGGAAATGGATTGTGCCTGTATAGTTATTTTGATACATATAGACCCAGTATTTAACTGTGCTTGGGTGCGATAGTGAGGCCAGACTCGCAGGGGTGACTACAGTATCATGCCCTTCCATATACCTGGTCTCTTATGAGTGGACAAGGTCTGTACTGGGTTTAGATGGAACTGTCTCGTCTCCTTTGCCTGCCCGCCTGCCCCCGTGAGTTCAGTGGTTGTGAATTGTTGTCTGATTAACCAGCCTCTGGACCTGCTGACCCATGTTGCTGATCCACACAGTTCTGCTGTCCCTGGGACACAGAGCTGATCACTTTCAGAGACAGGCCTGAGGTACCTGCCAAGTTAAAAGGCGTCTTGCGCCACACTGGGATGTGAACACAAATACAACTGCTAGTGTATGAGGGAGCTGATCATGCCATGGGCAGGGAGGTGAGAGGACAGACAAGTGCATACTGGCAGAAAGAGATAACGGAAGGAAAAGAAAAAGAAAGGGGAAAAAAAGGAAAATAGGGAGGGGAGAATGATTGTGCACTCCCTTGGACCATGCAGTGCATGGGCCAATGACAAAGTAATGTGGTTGCAATCCTGTTGCTTTTTTTTCTGTTGTTTATTTAATCAAGTAGAGTGGGAAAGGGGAAGGATGGGAGGGTGTTTGATGGTAGATTTCTTCAGGTTTCGGACTGCCTGGTGGAGTGGGCAGGATGGACCCAGAGAACATGGCTCTGAATCTGTCCCTCTTGCTGTGGCAACCCTGCCGGTCAGCCTTTGATAGTCAGCCCAAGGGAGTGAAACTCATCTGGAGCATCTGTTTCTTGGTGTGGTTCTATTTTCAGCTGATGAACAATTTGACCAGCTGAGGGGAGTTGGCCAAGGTTACAGAGTGAGTCAGCATCTCTGCCAACCCCAGTGCCTGCGACCCTCTCACTTGGGCTGCTTTGGCCTTTCAGCTGTGTTTGTTGCAAATGGTCCATAAATGGTATGTCAGGTCACTTCTACGCACAAAGTGGTGATGTGTTCATGAAGATGGGATGAGCAGGCAGTATTTCTGGAAGCCTGGCTGAAAGTAAGCAGAGGCTGAAAGGCTTCAGTTATCTCCTTAAAAGAGAGAGAGGGGGGGGTTAGTTTTGATCTAAATGTCTGTGTTATGGAGTCTATTCTTACATTAATAATAATAAAAACAAATGAAGTGTTCATTTATTTAGTGCTATGACCTTTACTTGCATTGCATTTAATCAATCTGTTCTACCATTGTGAGTATCTGTCATTATATCTCATATTACCGACTGTGTCTGGGGAGGAAGAGAAAAGATTGCTGTTACAGCACTTTGCTAATATAAAAGCAATTTTTTACAGTTTTGGCTTTTTCTGCCACCCATGCCCCTAAGAACAATTGCAGTGAACTGTCTGTGCAGTGAAGTCATCCCATTTTGGAGCAGATTGTTGGTTTTCACCAATGTCTTTTTCTGGAGGAATTTGATTATCATGTTCTGGGGGCATGTTCTGATTTGTGGCACTCTTTCAAAAAGTGACTAATGAATTTTGAGACGTCCATAAAGGGGATCATTGCTGAGAAATACACAGTAGCATTGGGCTTGGTTAGAGTATCCCAATTTGGGTAGCTGAAATGTCTAGCTACTTTTAAAGTCATGGGTTTAGAAAATGAGTTTCTGTAATGCACCCTTGTTGAGCAGTCTGGCTATTTCTTCTTGCAACTGATAGCTATAATTGAATAGAGTTGTATCTGGTCAGTAAGAGGAATAACACTGAATCCCTGGCATTACCCATCTTGCCCAGAGACACGCTGAGGCATCCGTTCACCCTCTGCGTGTCCATGCAGCTGCCAGAGAGGAGAGAGCTGCCTCCAGAAGTGGAGTCATAAGGGAATCTCTCTGCAATGCTCTGATCTGCCCTCTGGAGGATAGTCTCTCCTCCGTTCTCCATTGACTATATAGGGAGCCCAGGCAGGTAGTTTTTCCATAGCCAGGTTATCTAAATACCATTCTTTGCACACTCATCTCCCCCTGTTGTAGGGGAAACCTCTAGGGAGAGAGGCGTAATTGTTTCAGATTGTTGCCCTCTTCCTTCCAGATGAGAGCAGGATGTTAAAGGATGTTAAATACTGTAATCCTAGAGGAGACATGCAGCAGCTGATTGTGGAATTACTATCTAATATTCAGTCATGTTTTTATTTTAGGTATAGGTCTTCTGAATGTCTGTTTAAGCCTAATTAACACACAGACAATCTGTGGGAGAGGGCATGCATGCTTCTCTGCATTTAATTTATAGGTAAACTGAGGCACAAAAACTGTTGCAGAATAAATCTGTGGCAGAGATAGAAGTTGGTTTGTGGGCTGCTGTACAAGCCTTCAGACACATACAGTAAATAAACACCTTAGAGTCTGTAGGTCTGAAAGTTACACACAATCCTGGTTATGCAAAGCACCAAAGTACATGCTGAAATGCCACTGAATAGACGAGACTTAAGCATGTCTTTGCAGAACTTTCCTGAAAAAGGAAAGATCTAGGCATGTGCTTAAAACAGTTGTTATAAGATTCATAAATGTGATGCTACCCGTCCGTGGCACATTAAAACTGTGCTGTGTTCCTGAGGTAAAAAGTATGTCTAAGATTGCACAGCTAGAGGGCAGAAAAATTCAAGGAGAGGTACTGCTGTCCATACAAAATACCAAGAGTGAGTTTAGTTTGAAAACCCAGAAGGAAAGGAATCTCTTGGGCTTCTGCAGCAAAAGTTCCTGAGGAGCTATTTCTTGGGAATGGGAGGGGGAGAGGGGGGCAGTGGGCAGCAGAAGGGGAGAAAAATGAGGAGAGGGAAAGAGAACACTACGCAGAATAAACTCTTCTTCCCTGTTCCAGTTCAGGGTGATTTTGGTTTCTCGCAGTTCCTTTCAGATGAAATTCAATCCTGCAACCCCCTCAGAAGACAAAGACTTTTTTGTGAGGTTGCATGCCTGTGTGCATCTCGCCTGTGCTGGAAACCTGATGTCCCTTGAAAGGCACCTGTGCTCATGATAAAAATAAGTGCTTTGTTCCCTAAGATTGATAGGGCAGGGCACTTTTTTGCTTCTTTCTCTGCATGAGTAGAAAAAATATTTCTTCTGATAGAAGGTTTTGCGTGAGTGGTTATTCGGTTCCAAAGAGAAAGTTTCACAGCAGTCAGCACTAGAGACCCAAGAGTACTTCCATCTTGAATACTAAAACGCTTGTGTCCTTGCTTGCTTGTAGTTATATTTGGAAGATTCAGGTTTTTCCAATGGAATATTTGGGGGCTTTTTGATTTGAAGGGGAAAGCCACAATATGAGGTTTAATTCCCCCAAAGAGTCCAGTGGTGTTGTGGATGATTTGGAGAGACTTGGGAAAGTTTCTGCTCTTCCTGTTACTGAGTATAAAAAGATAGTGTCCACCAAGTGATTCTGCTGTGTTTCTAGATCCATTTAATTGCTGTTATCAGCTTCTTTATTCTTTCTGGAAAAGCTCCCTTTTCTAAGGTTTTGTTTCAGGTACTGAAAATAGGAGAGGATGAAAATACCACTCCCTTCTTCAGGTTTATCTTTTAAAGACAGACCTCTTTTAGGTACTCTCATTAAACAGAGAACTGGACCTTTCTCCCCAGCTTTCTCACTCCCTGAAAAGATCCTTCTGAGAGGCTGGGACGAAATATTTATGAGAATGAAATGTGAAGTGGGGACAGGAGAGATGGAGTTTTTGTTCAAGTGCTTGGTGTGTATGTGTGTGTTCCTGCACGTGTGGAACCACTGAACTCTGTGAATGGAGCACAGCTTTCCTGCTGGGAAGCCTTTCTCTGTGATAGCTCTTAGTGCTCTGCACCACTGAAGATGAGATTCTCTTTTAAATGTCTATCTCTGGTTGTCTCCAGAGCAGAAAAGAAAGTGTAGAAGAAAAGATATTCTCTTTAAAAATACAGTGATGATGAAACTTTCTGTAGTATCTATATATCTGCAGCTTGAACCCTAATGCTGTTGTACTTCCTGGGCTAACTTGTTTTCTCTAAGCAATTTTTAAACATATATATAACCTAACATTTTAATACCAAAACCCTAATACTCATTAGCTTACTGTGTTATAAGAGCGTGCCTGCTTTTTCCACTAACAACAAAGTCAGAATTGTATGTTTGAAGAAGGAAGAAGCAAGGATGTCTTTAGTTTGAGATAGCTAGCTCATGGGAGAAAAGGTGATGAAAATTAACAAACTGATCTCATTTATCTTTTGTGGAGTTTTTTTAGTCTTCTAAGTTCACAGGTGAGTTGCAATTAAATATTGCAGATACAGACCCATATCACTATAATGTTTTTTTTCTTTCCTGGCAGGATGGTTTGGTATTTTGTTGTTACCAGTAGAGGTATCAGTATCTGCTGGTACCAAAGGCCATACCTACAGCCTTCCTATTTCGTGAAAGGAGAAATCTTTATTCCTCACCTTATATCGCTATGGAATTGGAGAAGATAATAGAGGAAGACTATATGTAAATATGAGACTTCATCACTGTAGTATTGGGGTGAATGTGTCTTATCAGGAGAACAATACCGTTGGAGAGGTGTTTTTTCCCTTTGGTGTGGTGGGGGGGATTGAAGTACAAAATATTAAGTGATTTGCTTCCTCGATCACACAGGAAGACGTCAGAACTACAGAGAAATGAGTTCAGATTCCACCAGTCCCATTTCAATGACTCTGCTTTTACAATTAAGTGTCTGTAGCTCTCAGCATATGAGTAGAATCTAGAGCTAGGAGTAGTAGGATGAAATGAGAAAAGGAAAGCTAAATATAAGCCTGTGAGGGAAGGAGGAAGACTTCCCTTGCGTGAATTACATCCTCTTGCGTGAGGAGGGAGTTTCATGAAGGCTATACTCAAGTCCTTATCGGCTGAGAACTTTTTCACTGCATGAAACAAAATATTAGGTAAACTACCGTGAAGAGTAATCCCACATGTGAGGGACTCTTATGGATGTGCTAGATGTATTCTAAGTTTCTTTAAATCCTGAGATGGGATGTTTCATGCCGTAATTTTGAAATGTGAGCCTGCATGTGGCTGTACAGCACTGTGCTGCAGTAAATAAGTCAGAATTATGTTAATGGTGACTCTTCTGGCTTCTGGTGGTCCTCTGCATAATCCCTTAAATTTACTGAAAAGTTATGGGACAAGACTGTGAGTGACAGGAAGTCTCATTTGCGCTGCTATTGAAATCAGTTTTGTCTGTACTATGCACAGTGACTTATAGTAGGGAGGAGAACATGGGGAATTTCCCCCTTTTAAAATATTTAAGGTTTAGATTCAGATAGTACAGTCACTGGCTGGGAAGCTTTCTCTATTTTCTGTGATTTGAGTGATTGTTTCCTAATTATATTAGGACCTGCTGGTTATCCTGGGATGTAGCTCTAGGGTAGCCATTTCCTGCCTGTATGTGAAATCTCACTGTCTTATTGTACAGTTTTGATTTGCTGAAATTCACGTAGCTTGAGTGTCTTTAGTTAACTGAAGAATTAAAATCTTTCAGTCCATTTGAGTTGTACTGTGTCTGTTAGGCCCTCCAGTCTGGATCACAACGGTTAACTTCTAATTTGGGTTGTAGCTGCTTTCAAAGTTGTTTGGCTTGTGTGGCAAGTTGCTTCTTACTATTTGGTCCATACATATAGTTAGAGGTTGGAGTCTGGTTATGCTAGGTATGCATTAACACTGTGAATTTCAGCCAGCAGGCTCTGAAAACTGCCCCTCGCCTCTGGAGATGACATATTTAGGAAGTTTTCTGAGGCTTCCAAATCCTCACCTGATTAGGTGTTCTGTGAAAAATCAAGATTTGCCCTCTACACCATTAATAAATCTGGAGGCCTAGTGGATTAAAGGAACTCTCTCAGCAAATGTCAGCATTTCTTCTTTGAAATGCTCGCTCTGGAATTCTTAGGAAATTGAAATTGTTCTGTGAAGCTAAAATTTAATTCTGTTTCAGATGGAGTTTGTGTTAATTCTGACTTGAGCAAACAGGCACCCACGCATTACGGAATCACACAGAATGGTTTAGGTTGGAAGGGACCTCTGGAGATCATCTAGTCCAACCTCCCTGCTCAAGCAGGGTCCTCTAGAGCATATTTCCCAGGATCACATCCAGACGGGTTTTGAATATTTCCAGCGAAGGAGACTCCACTACCCCTCTGGGCAACCTGTTCCAATGCTCTGTCACCCTCACAGGAAATAAGTTTTTCCTCATGTTCAGATGGAACTTCCTGTGCTTCAGTTTGTGCCCGTTGCCTCTTGTCCTGTTGCTGGGCACCACGGAGAAGAGACTGGCCTCATCCTCTCGACACCCCTCCTTCAGAGACTTGTACACATTAGTCATGCAAGCTTGACCTGCATGTGAAATCCATGCAGTTTTGACTTCTCTTAATTTTATTAGCCCTAAAAAAGCCTTTTAATTGGATTATTATACTCACGTGGATCTCATCTATAGGACAATATAATTAAATGCCCAATTCCTCTTTATAATGTAGAAAAGGCATTGAAACTTTATAGTAGAGTGGAATAAGATGAAGCAAGAGATACTGATTGAACTCTTGCACATACATAAAGAATGCACAGGTGATGCTATTATTTTTGTACCTAGAGAGAGCCGGTTTGAAACCTTTGTGGTCAGTACTCTTTTTTCTGTGTGCAACCAGGCTAATGTGAACAGATTGTATGGGCTGATTTGGAAGGCAGGTGTTCACATCACAAAACCACTGCTATAATTGCCATGATGTGTTGTGCCAATCTCAAGTGAAAAGGTCAAAAGTAAATGGACACAAACTAACTTTTACCTGTATTAGTGGTTCTTGGAGGTCATTTTCAGGTAACGGCCAATGGTCATGGCTAAGGATTGGGAAAGTTGTTCAGTGACTACAGATAATCGATTTTACCTTTTCTCATAGAAACAAAATGATATTTTCACAATATCTAACATGAGATTTTCAGTCACCTCAGTTTACTTTCCAGTTCTGAATGTTTGAGATGTCTTGGTTAAAGGCTTAGGAGCCACCTTTTTACAACTGCACTTCCTTTACGCAGAGTTTTTTTTTGTACGCTTGATCTCTTTATCCTCCCAATCTCTCTCTTCAGACTTAAAATTATGCTATGTGTTGGCTAAATGTACCTTTTTGCCTGCTAGTCCACAAGAAGTAAGTATCCAGTTCCGGCACTGGTTGACTAGTTAATCTTTAATTCAAGTGATATGTTTGCCTTCACCCCTTAGACCTGGATATCACAAGGTCAGTCCCCCAAGTGAGAATATATCTCCTGAAGGGGGATTTGTGGGTGCAGAGGAGGTATGCTGTTTCTTGTACAGCTCTGACTACTTGTTCAGATGGCCATCACCTGCACGCAGAGATACGCACAGACTTACATTTCAGATGCAAAATATATGAAACTTTTGACTTAAGAAAACATTCCTTAGTCACTTAGCTGGTTCTTTATATAGTATATCATTTGTTTTGAAGTTAGAAATGTTTCTTCTCCCCTCCCTCTGTGTTGATGGTGTTCTAGAACAGCTGCATTCGGGGTTTTGCTTTGCTTTATGAAGCTTCAAAAAGAAATGTGCCAATGACAGTGATTTTCAACATACACAAGGGAAAGGGGATTGGGCTATTTCAAAAGATTAAACAAAAAAATTCTCTTCCTTTTTTCCCTTTATCACAGATGCCCGAGATGTAGAGCAATTGAGTAAGAATAACATTACGCACATTCTTTCAATCCATGACAGTGCCCGCCCTATGCTCGAGGTAAGAGGGATGGGGGACTCCATGGTAAACCCTTATTTTGCAGTTGGCAGTTCCAGTCATCCTGGTATTGATTTCATATTCTGTACAATTGGTGTTTTGAAACTGATTTTCTTTTGGAAATGTTTGACAGCAGTAGTTTTGGGATTCAGGCACAGATTTCATTCTTGCCGCTGTTACAACAAAAAAGAAATCTAACTGACAAAGGAAGAGACAATTGCAGTGTCAATCAATATAACACAATAATGAGATTGTGTTACTAATTTAATAGTAAAGGTAAGTTTCTTTCTGTGTGAAATTCAAGCATCACATAAACAATATTTCTTCTCCCTCTTCCCACTACCAGCCCTCCTTCATCCTGGGCTCCTTTTTTGAATCTGTACAGCAGGTTGTTGTGCAAAACATCTGCAATCCTTTTCCATGTAAAATAGCATTACTGAGGCTTGGACCACTGATTCCTCCTTCACCCCCTAATATAATACATCTAGGAGAGCACAGCATCGTTAGGTCTCAAGCACTTGAATATGAGGTATTATTCCATGTTTTACGGAAGGGAAACTGACCTGAAGAGTTGAAATGACTTGGCTTGCTGTGTCATTTGGAGCAGTGAAAGAGCTGAGACCAGGCTGAAGGTCTTCTGTGCTTCACTGTTCTGCTTTCCTCTTTATGTCACTTTACCTTTGGAGGAGGGCAGTGTGGCTGGGCTATGTTTAAAATCTTGCTCTTTTGTTATATATCTGGAACTGCTTGTCCCCCTGAAAACTTATTTCTCCCTTCCCTGCATTCTGCTTTTCACCAAATATGGCAAAGTAGTGGGTAAGGCAATTGTTGGTGCTGCTCCTCAGAACCTGCTGGGAATATCTGCTTTTCGCTCTCTTCATGTACAAAGTCTCCCGTGGATTCAGTCCTTAAACTGCAAAATTTCTACTTGCTCCCAAGCAAATCAGTAGGTAGGCTGAACAAAAGGTCTCCCTACCACGTCACAGTCAAACCAAAAATCAAGTCAATAGTGAATTCAGGGTCAACTTTGAACTTAGAAGTCTGCTAAAGCAGAGCTTAAGCTGTTGATTTTATGCTAGTGTCCATTTGACTTGTGCCTGATGATTGCTAGTTCTGAAACATACTGAATTCCAAGACTGCTCTTAATTGAAGCAATATATGGTCGTATTGACTGAGGGAGATGTATTTTGGATACCTTCTGCATGCGTTTCCTCTAGGTGGTTGTTCCATAAAATAAATAGAAGCTTGCTTTATTATTATGATTAGAAAGGAAGGAAGACTAGTTATGGCATAGTTCAGCTGCAGCCTCAGGTCACCACTTTTGGTAGTGGTGGTAGTTTTGGCAACCCACACACCACCCCCTTGCTTGTGGTGGTGCATCTGTTTGTGGGATTGCATGCTGAGCAGAGCTGGTCTGTGTTAAATATAACTAAGTCACTATTTCTTCCTCCAGCTCCCCCCCCCCCCACCCCACAAAAAGCATGAAGGAGTATATCTGCCTGAGTCAGTTCCCCAATCTGGTTTACTATACAGTCTCTGGGAAACTGCAGTGACATGGGAATAGTAGTTGCTGATGTGAGGATGGGATTGCTGAGTTCACCCCTTGCTACTAACAGGACTATTTCCCCAACTGTGCATGCAGCATATACCTTTATGTGCCAGTGGTGTGGAAAGCAAGTGTTAATGCTTCTCCTCTTTTTTTTTTTTAACTGGAGAAAGATTGCAAGTTCCATTTTTCTGGAAGCAAAATTGATTATTATTAATTGCCTTGTTGTTCATGGTCTTACTGCAGTGTTTGCTTGCAACTAAATGCTTTTGCTGAGGAACACGGACCTAGAAAGCATCTATTATTTTGTGTTAATTCCTTTATTATTTACATCTTTGCCAGGTTGTAGTTAGGTTTGTTCACAGCCTGTGTATCCCACACTATGCTTGGGGTTTGTTCTCTGGCCCATTAAAGTCACATGGGAATGCTTCTCCTCTGGGTCTCACTCTTCCTCTTTTCCCCCAGAAAAAGGAAACTTTCCATTTCTGTGTTGGGAAATGGGGGCTTACATTTGTGTTCAGGTATTCGTTATTCTGACCTTTAATCATGGAACTGCTGTGACATGAGACCCTTTTGTCGGAAGTTCCCTCTGTGTGTGTGTGTGTGTATGCATGTGTATATATGTATTTACACACACACTCATGCAAACATTGGTCACCTCTAAGAAGCTGTTTCTTCTTCAATTGCAGTAGTTGCATTTGTCTTCTGGTGACAATATTTCATCTTAAGCATTTCCTAGTCAACCTATAGGAAATGTTACAAGTATTTCATTAAACAAAGCTTTTTCTACAAGACATGAAAGGTAAGCGTTTTTAGGTTCAGAATCAGTTTAATACGTTATTGAAGTGAATTTGGCATTTTTTTGACTGTGAAACAAAGGAATATGGTCCTCAAAGAAGTGGCAAATTACCCACATCTTGCTTGTGAGATTCTGAAGTTCCAATATTGATTCTTTGTTTTGATGCAATAATACTTCTGATGGAGCACTTCATTAAATTTGATAACATTGGGCAGGAAATGAGACTGACCAGTCTGGTTTCATTGTCCATATTGTGTAGGAACAATACTGAAGAAATGAAAGCAAATTTCAGTATATGTGGTGAACACCAACTTGCTACATGCTGTAAAAAAAAAAAACAAAAAACAAAAAAAACTTCCATTTTAATCACTTACGGCATTGCCCCTCTCTGCCTGTGTGATGCTATGTACTATTTTTACCTGATTGTGTTTAAAATATATCTTTTAAATTATATTTTTTCCTCTGTGCTTTGTACACTGCAGGATTTAGAAATATGTTGCTTTAGTTCCTCAGAGCTTATCAACTCACTAGAAAATGATTGAAGAGTTCTGCAAAAAACATTTGTTATATTCATTTGATTTTCAAAGTATGTGCGTATTGAGGAGAAATAATTTAAAAAGAATGTTTTCATTGGAATTTGATTTCAAAAGTTGATCTTAATAATCATTTACAAGTCGTCATGAACTTGTGATTTATAGGTTGCTCATAAGCAAAAGTTGGGCTTGGGAAGCTATTGCTAACTTTCAAGTTGGAGTAACTATGGAAAAATAGGTTTAAAAATCAGTCGGAATATAAAACTTTATAGCTTTAGACATTGGCAGTCTTCATTAAGTACAAGGCATAGAATTGTTTTATAAGACTTTAAGTGATTTAGACTGAAAGGAATTTGCCAAAATCTGGACTATCTTGCAAAATTGCCCCTTAGTTCTTTTTGTATAAATAGTTTCGGGGAAACTTGTCCTTTAATAAAAGCAAGCTGAAATTAATTTATATTCAAAAAGTGTCATTTCAGTTAAGTACTCCATTGCTCTACAATATCTTAACCACTTAGGTAAGCATTTTGTAGTTTAAAGATCCATCTATACAACTCCATCAGAAAAACTGTAGGTTACTGGGGGTGTGTCCAAGAAAAAGAACTGCATGCAGTGTGGAACAAGGTTTGCTATTTTGCACGAAAGTCATCCCCCGAGTAAGTGTGGTGTCTGACGGTATCGTGTCCATTGTCGCACAGGCATGGAGGTGATAGCCCTGGTGAATCAAGTTGGCTCCTCCGGAACGCTTTGGACAGCTGCCCATGGAACAGTCACAGATGTTCTGAAAATCCATACAAAAGCCCTGTACTGGGGAGAAACTTGCCACCTGCTTTCTAATCTATCTCAGCTAGTTCAGATCTCTACTCAGAATGAGAGAAACAGTGAATGGTAGATGGGAAAACAGATATCTGAGAGTGTGCTTTAATAATTACATAACTGACAGTGACCTGGTGGATCTCGTGGTAAAACTCTCTTTAAAACCAGGACAAACAACTTTTGGGACTGGACACCAAAAGGCCAAAAGTGAGACCTGACTTTTATGGTATGCTGATATCCTAACCAAGCTGGTGCAGTCAACAGAGCCACTCAGGTGCAGTCCTTCAGAATCCACAGATGATGTGGAAGTGCTTAACTAATCCTGAGCAATTCTTCCCCCTGCCTACAGACAACCTATTGCTTCAAAAAAAACGGCTAGGCAGATTAGAGCTTTTGCTTTAATTGCCCCTGCAGCTGTAGCTCTTAGAGATATCTCTGAAAAGCTGGGAAAAAGCTTATAGGGACATTCCTGTCAAGTCCAAAGTTCTCCACCTGGTAGAACTTTTCAATAAATGTCAGAGGATACAAAATACAACAAACCCACGTTGCTACTGTTGTGCAGTACACAGAGCAAAATAATACCGCATCGACCTTTATCCGTTTTAGTTATTCTGCAGCATTGAATCTGAGTCTATGAAATTTTGTGTTGCTTGATCTGAATGAAGGAGATAAAGGCAAATCTTGTTTACGAGGTGTCTGATTAAAAGTCCATTGAAGTTAAGGCTGTTTGTGTGGACTTTCCTGGCATTTGACCCTATTCCAAGGGATGGTACTTGGAGACAGATGTAAGCCCAAACCAAACAGGATTTTGGTATGGATTGTGCAGCCGCTTAAATACAGGTGCATCCCTTCCCTGGTAGTGTGTGCTGTGCTGGACAGCAGTGTGCAGCAGCTGAGCTTGCAGCATCCTTAATTCTCACTGTCATCTGCACATGACCGCCCCCTGCCCCTCCATCCCAACCTCTCTCTTTTTTTTGTGGGGGTAGTTAATTCAAGTGGGCTTTGTATTCTGGTCCTTGATCTGTCCAAGGCTCTTCAATTGAGAAGCCAGTTGTGACTTTGTGTGTGTGTGTGTGTGTATTGCATACACAGTTCCATCAGGAAACAGACTGAAACTACTAGCTGCTTTCACACGGGCCACCACGCATTTGTCAGTTGCTAGTAATTTTGTTGCTCTTGACCCGCATCAGAGGCTTAACCTAGTAAACGTATGAATTTTACCAGCCCTCTATGGCTATGGAGTCCTTTGACATTAATTTATTTATAGCATTGTCAGACTGACCACTGCTACATCACAGGAAGCTCTATA